TTTCACCACGCAGCATGAAGGGCCAGGAGATGGTGCTGTGGGTCAACTTTTCTTCCCCTGCAACAGTATAGGTGGTTTTGAAACTTTGGGTGATTTATCCTGAGATAAAGCTGTCATTTCTTTCCTCCTAGGACTAATAAGCCACCCAAATCTGCGCACTAAAGGAAATCTTTAAGTTATTAAAAAAAAGTTAACATACTTTTTAAAGGAAACATTAATTTTTGTCTTGGGGAAAGATGATGATAGACTGACTCTAGTGCTCTAAAGCCATCGGTTCTGAACTTTATACTGAATGTAATCTTGGAGGAGAAAATGGGCAGTCAATTGTTTTTTGGTAATTTCCTATTGAGAAAGCTATGAGTGAAAGGTTTTAAGGAAGGCTGGAGACCAGTCTGGGGTTTTCTGCTGCCAAAGAGCAGTACAGAGAAGTGCTCATTATAGAAACAAGGACAGAGAACAGTCTTTGATTTAATCAGTTAAATGTGAGACAGAAGTGGTGATCTATAGAGGTAACACAGAGAAAGCATCTGATGCTGAGGTCGTCAGCCTTTGGAATCACTGGTGTGGTTGGGTCACTTTTCTTGGCATTCTGAAATGGTGCTGACAGAATGTGTATTCCTCTTGTGTATTTATGTAACCTCTGCTGGTTTTCATACTTCAAATGCAGACTGCTGGAATCAATTTTCTTTTCTCATTTGCATGTAAATGACATGAACATGACCCTGTCAATTTCCCACAGGTTGTTTTGAAAATAGTGTGTTGTTATCCCAGAAGTGGGGGCCCCTGCATTATCCTATGAGTGTTTAAGCTAATTAACTCAATTGGTTTGAGGATGGTTGTAAGACATCCAAGGTCACAGTAACCATCGGTGTCAAGATTGGTGAAGTTAGGGGAGGGAGGGAGAGAGAGAAAAGACACCAGGTAGCCAGGAACCAAGAGAGATGCACTCTATCACAGGCCACGTATGGTAACTGACATTATAGAAAGGTGTTGGCAAAAGGGATATACGATGTGTGTGGCTCAGTGTCCCTCAGTGCTAAACAGTGAAGGCCTTCCATGATCCATCCTCAACAGCAGAGCCATGTACACCTGTAGAGATAGCCACCTTCCTAGGAATGACATTCTGTGGCCCCACGGTCCCTGGCTTTTTATCCAGGCCTCTTTACATTGTCTCCTGAGTTTTATTTTTTTCCTTTCTCCACCACAGGCAATTGTGAAGAAATGGAAGGATCGCTTTGCTTTAGTGGAACTGGGAACCTCGGTAGAACTCTGTGGCTGTGACTCCTGCTGGGGGTTCCCCCAGCAGTAAATTTTAGGAGGGCTCTGCAGAGCAGTTCTGCTTACTTCTGTTGGATCTTCCCATAACCCACTGTGGTCCAGATGTGTACTTGAGATTTATGGTTGTTTACTTGGGAAGAAAAATTTCGTATGAAACAGGGAGAGAATTTTTCATATAAAGAATAAATATTTGTGTTTGGAATGGAGAAGCAAATGCCTGCCTGAGCCCAATTTCTGCTGCTGGCTGGCTTAGTGTCTGGCACATAATAATAGCTCACATTCATTGACTAACGGAAGACTCTATGCTAAGCACAGTGTAAGCATCACTGTTATTATCTGCACTTTAAGGATGGAAGACAGGATTACAAAGACGAATTACCTTTCCTGAGATCCCCTGGCTAGTCAATGGCAAATCTGAGATTTGAACATATATCATGTAGTTCCACAGATGGGGGTCTTAAAGTCTGTGCTATTCTATTTGGCCTGTAGCTTACAGAGACAGCCTCATCTTAGTCTGCTTTTAGAAGTAGGCTCAAATTTCTGGGCTTAAATACATTTCTAAGTTTCTCTTCAATAGGCTACAGGTATACGGGGGCTAAAATGACAAGGTCAGTATTCCTATTTTGTAGAAGGTCTTACATGCGCTTAGCATCTCTTGTGCTGGGTGCTAGGGATACACTGGTTAAAAAAAATCAAATGATTGGATCACTCCCTCTTAGAACTTTTATTTCATGTGTGCTGCTGCAGAAACATGGCCTTTCATGAGAGGTGCGTATTGGATCCATGGATCTTTGGTGTTTCGTAGGTGACCTCTCACAGATAGAGGAAACAGAGAGTTGAGGACAGAGGCTGCTGACCCCTAATTGTTGCAGGAAGATGTCATTGTTTATTAAAATAGGGTATGAGTTGTAACCTATGAGAGAATTTAAACTGCACTGCAAGTTTAAAAAAACGTTTCTCACTCTCATTTCTTCTTATTTAAATCAATTCTTTGAACTTATCTCCACTAGAGAATTCTTTGACTAGAGAATAAAGTAAATGATTAAGCAGGCTGTCAATGGGGCAAGTATGTCCACTGACCCAAGATAAAGGTGACAGGTTCTAATTATATTTAAAAATTTCCCTGGCCCACTGAGTTGACACTGGCTCCTTTTGTTGGTTTATCAAGATTCTTCAAGCTTGGTCCTAGCTACATGAATTGGAATTAAGCACTAAAAATTCTCTCTCTCTCTCTCTCTCTCTCTCTCTCTCTCTCTCTCTCTCTGATTTTTGTATTTAATCTAACTATAGGTTGGATTTGTGTAGATTAGGAAATTCTGATGAATGAGATGCCTAAAGGACATAAAATATAATCTGATTAAATAACAAAAAGAGTGTTCAGAGGCTATGTGACTGTCATATTGAATACTAAGATTAACAATGATTCACAGCTTTAAAGCCTCATTTTTATTGTGCTATATTTATTGTATGATAATAATCAATTTTTGTTTAAAAATGTAAAATTTATAGGAAACTAAGCAATAGTAACTATGTATAAAAATTAATGAATAAAAGAGAATTTATGAGACAGAGGAGAGAGGGAGGTGAGAGGACAGAGGACAGAGGGAGAAAGGAAAGAAGAGATCTAAGATGAGGGAAAGTCTGCCTTACTAATTGAACTGTCTCATAGCCTTTTTTCAGAAGTGTTTTCTAGGTTGGAAATGTCATGGTTTATGTTGGTGGCCCCCAAGCCTCATGCATTTGCATTGTGCATTTGTGATTCATTCATTGTCTAGTGCTTGGACTGGGAATGTGAGTGCTACACTGGCCTAGTGGTGGAGTCAAGATGTAATGTAATGACAGGAAGAAGGTGTGTCTCTCTCTCTTGCCATTTGCAGCCACCATGAACTGTGGCCCTGCCATGCCACCCTGCCTTGGAGCCAACTGAGTATGGACTGAAACCTCCAAAAACTGTAAGAAATAACCTTTCCTTTCCCAACTTGGTACATCAGGTGTTTTGTCTCAGCGATGAGTAAAAAGTAACTAAGACAGAATTTAGTACCGGGGAGTGAGGTCATTGCTGTGACTATACCTGACCATGCTTTTTGAGAGACTTTGGAATTGGCTTGTGGGCAGAGTTTGGAAAGGTTCAGACATGTCACCTGGATGCATAGAGCTGGAGCAGCTTAGGCTGTTCTATAGAGGAGATTCTGGTCAGAGCTCAGGAGACCAGAGTGCTGATAGAAAGCCTCATGGTAAAAACCAGGCTTGGGAGGTTTCTGCTGAGAAGGACTGCATTCGTTGTTGGACTCCCCATGATGTGTGCTATGGATTTGCAGAAAGTTTGTCTGCATTTTGCTCATGCACAGACTTTGCCTGAAACTGAAACAAAGGGCAATGGACTGACTAATCTGGAAAAGGAAATTTCAAAGCAGTCAAATGTTGAGGCTGTGGCATGGTTACTGTTGGGGACTTTTAGCCATCTTTATGTTGCAAATGAAGAGCAAATAGCCCAGCAGGATAATTTACAACTCTGTGAATTTGGCCAGAAGGAAAATTCCAGGAAAACTGTGGATTATAAAGACAGGCTTGAAACCTTGATTGCTGAGGATAAACAGAGAGATAAGAAAGATGGCCCTGGGGCATCCCAGGAAGCAACAGGTCTCCACCCTTTGCAGCCTCAAAACTGCAAAAGTGAAAGAATTTGCTCAGAGATGAAAGCTGCAGAGCATCATGCTCCAGAATGGTGATGGAGGCCACACGAGGTTCCAGAATGGTGATAACATAAAAAAGCTTTTCCTCACAATCAAGTAAACAGAGCCCTGTGATCCAGGCAACTGATCCCTACAGCCAAGAGAGAGGAAAGCCTGGCTACTGCTCCAGCTGGCAGCAAACCTTAGTGGCATCCACATGGTTTTGATTTTAGGAGCAAGGAAAATTCACAAATTCTGAGGGTAAGACAGCTTCCACCTCAATTGCAAAGGGCCTGGGAAGCCAACCAGTGTGCTCCTGAGAGGGAATTTGTAAAGATGTAAAGGTGAAGCCAAAGGTGTAATAGAGACTCCAGAAGTTTGAAAAAGCAAGGAACGTGGATCATCCAAGGAAAGCTGCAAGAAGTGAGCAGAGAGGGTTTAAAGGAGAAGCTGTAGGAGCTGATATCCCTAAAAGTGCCATGGGGATGAAATCATCCAAGCCTTTTGGAGTTTGCAACCAGATTGCTTCAGATGCTGAGCATGGAACTCTAGGACTTAATGCTCTTCCTGCTGTATGTTGGACTTGCTTTGTTTCCCATGGTTTATATTCTCCTGTTTGTAACTTTTGGAATGGTAATTTTTTTGAATGGTAATGTTTAATGAAATGCCTTTGCAATTCAGAAATGTTTAACCTTGTTTCATTTGTACAGGAGGTTACAATTAAGAGTTTGCCGTAGATCTTGGAGGAGACTTGGCACTTGAACTTTTCAGCAATGCTGAAACTATTAGGACCTTGGCAACTCTTGGAGATGGACTAAATGCCTTTTGTATAAAAGATGTACATGAGTCCTGGGGGCAGGGTGAAATGTCATAGTTTCTGTTGGTGGCCCCCAAGCCTAATGCATTTGCATTTGTGATTGGTTCATTGTCTGGTGCTTGGATTGGGGATGTGAGTGCTACACTGGCCTAGTGGTGAAGCCAGGATGTAATGTAATGGCAGAAAGAAGGTGTGTCTCTCTCTCTTACAGATTTCTGCCTTGCCATTTGCAGCTGCCATGAACTGCGGCCCTGCCACGCCACCCTGCCTTGGAGCCAACTGAGTATGGACTGAAATCTCCAAAAACTGTAAGAAATAAACCTTTCCTTTCCCAACTTTGTGCATCAGGTATTTTGTCTCAGCAACGATTAAAAAGTAACTCAGCAATGATTAAAAAGTAAAGACAGACACATCCTGAGAAGACCCACAGCCACTGGAAAGATGTGATGGCTCCTGATCTAGACATTTTTATACTCATTTAGGGCAGGAAGCAGCTATTTTCTATTCTCTGTACCCTTACTTGCTCTGCATACTTTGTTTTCTTTCTCATGTAATTGTACAGGTGCACTGTCTTCTTCCTGAGTCAATGAAATTCTTGCTCTGCTGGCTTCTCCTTCTCTGGATTCTCTGTCTCTGCCTCTGCCTCTGCCTATGTCTTTGTCTCTGCCTCTGCCTCTGCCTGTGTTTCTGTCTCTTTTTCTGCTCTAACTTTTCCTTCCCAGGATACAAAGGGTCTCAGAGTACTGCATATGTCTCCTCTGATTCATTAGTTTTAAACTTCAGCTCTCAGAATGACATTACTTCCGGTGTGTTCTTGTTCATGTTGGGATGAGGAAAAGTGTTGCATTATGTCTTTGTATGTAGGCAACATCTCAGATGTTCCTTTGGCCAGGGACATCTGAGAAGGTTGGCTTGGATATTAAAGGTTTTAAGTCACAGGAAGTTGTGCCAGTCTTTTTTGAGGTGCTCTGCAAACTTCTAACAGGAAACAATGTTAGTACTAACATATATGAACAACTCTTGAAAAGTAAAATCAGACAGGACTCTAAGTCGTCTGTACTCTTTGGTTTCTGGAGTGAAGAGAAAGCTATGAAGTTCTATCATTTAATCAGAAATGAATATAACCCCCAGGCAATCTGGGTACCTTCAAGACAGTGTATTTATGTGTGTTAATTTATTATTTTCCATGGTGAGAATTGAGAACTGCATCATTTGGGAAAGAAAAACTTTTGGACTTTATTTAATAATGAATCAAGTGACTGTGAGGTCCGTAGCTCTTCTCCTCATGAATAGTACAGTAACTTTGAATGACATAGTATTAGAAGGGAATTTATGGACCAAATTGAGCATATATAATTAAACATAACTCCATACACTGAATTTTCTCTTCAGAGACCTATCAGGACAGAACATGAATACACCACACTTAATGCTTCCCCCTGCTCTGTCTCCCTAGCTTATGCTTTTTCTGTCTTCCCTGCTTCACTTATTGGCTCATGGACTCCATCTCTCCTTCTTTCAACAGAAAGTCTGTCTTCCCTCTGTGTGGCTTCATGCCAGAAATAATGGAAAAGATGGAAAATTTTCTTGTGGTTAGAGGTGAAGCCAGCAGTAAAAGAAGCCCATCCTTCACTCTCCTCCCCTCAGAAACTCTCCTCCCTAGTTATGCATTCAGGCTGGAGGTGGGGAGTACAGGAGTTCTGGCTGGAGGATCCAAGAGGTTCTTGTTGGCTTTGGTGCCTAATGTGTGCTCTGAAACTGCAGGTCCGAGAGGGTTAGGAAAATGAAAAAGACCAGGCAGGCACAGTTCCTCCTCAGAGAGAGCAGCTGGTTACCAAAGAAGGATCCCTGAGCTTCATGTGTTTCGCCCACTGGACCATTGGCAAACAGTAAGGCCTAAGGAAGTAAATATCTCCACACCTTAGGGGCCATCTGGCCCTGTTAAAGCTGTGTCCCTGTGGGTTTGGGTTAGTCCATCAGAGAATTTCAAGGACTCTTGAAATACTTGTGGGTAACCTGGAATTTCCTTAGAGACCTGGCTGCTGAGATCACTAACCAGCTTCAGGGATCCTTGCCTCCTGTGAATGACAAAGACATCTGTGTAAAAATGGGTCACCGGAAACCCTTAGAAACCCTCGAGCCATAAATTCCTTCTAAGACACAAATAAACCACCTATAAAAGTTCTAGGGTATGGTAGAGAAAGTTTAAATCTTAATCAAGCCAGTAATATGTATAAAGCCATTACTTGTCTCTGGTTAACTCTAAAAATCAGATTTTTAATAAAGACTCACAAAACTTAGGAGATCAGCTACCATTCTCTTAGTTCCCCTTGAGACTGAAAAGTACAGGGGTTAAGGAGCTCAGTGAAATTCTAAAGTTCTCCTCACAAAACAGTGGTTGAGTAGTTAATCCTCTGAACAAACCCTTCATTGATCTTTCCTAGCAAATGCTAGCATGACACTCCACCAAAGGAAATCTCAGGTCTGGGTACCTGTGGCTCTTCTTTTAGGATGGATCAGAAAGATCATTCTTGTCTTAGCCACAATTCAAGTTTATACTTGCAAATACAGAAATGCTTTCGTGGATGATCATCTTTCCTTAACTTTCAGTGATGTTAGCTTGCACCTCACATGACTGCCCTTATGGTTCACCTAAGGAATGTTTTCTAAAGATGTGCTTGGTAGTTTATTAAGTACTGGGGAGATATGTGAGCGAGACTGTCCCAAATCTTTGTTCTCCACAAATGCAAAATTCCCATAAAGTAGGACAAGGAGTCATTTTGATACTGTACTTATGGATGCAGGTCCTGAAATCAGGATAATTTTGTTATTCCTGCTCATGTCTCCTAGCCATCCCACTTCAGGAGTTTTGGAATCCAAGATCCTTGCAGAATGGTGTGTTATTTCCATTTCTTTTCAATTCATTTCTAACAGTGAGAAAACACTCAAAGACCAAGATGAGCTTGGTGTAGTTATGATGGGTTAACCTTAGAAGCCAACTTGTCTGAGTTTGAATCTTCTTTAAACCTAACTGTGTGACCTGAATACTGAATACTGACACAGGATACTGAGAAGTATTCTTATGTCTCCTTGTGATTATGATCATTATGTCCTTGAAGTGAGGATAATAGCATTATCTACCTTAAAAGATTCTTGTGAGCTTTAAAGTGAGGTAATAATAAATCCATATAAACGTCCAGTTGTTAGTTAACATTCAGCAAAATTATCTGCTATTAATTTAAGCAAAGTACCAGTGCTGGAAGAGACTTAAAAGACCCATTCTTTAGTTCAAATCATGTGTACTTTATGAATGAAACTATGGCTAAATGTGAAGAGAGAGGATGACAATGGTAATTGGCAACTTCATTCTTTTAAGATCCTGCCAGTGAGCTGTCTGGCAACCTGCAGGTTGCTCAAGAGATCAGGATGCATGTTTCTTTAAAAAATGTGTAGGGTGTTTTGACCTAGTTGGTCTTGAGAAATCTTTAAGTTCAGAAAGGTGAGTGGTAGGATGTCTAGCTGGTAAAAGCAGGATTCTTGAATCTCCCATTTGATGTTTCTTTAGAATCTTTAATTTTCTTTCTTGGTGTTGGTTTATAATGAGAAATTGCAGACGTTTTTCTGGATGTTGGATGAATCTATGTCATGAATTAGCTGATAATATAGTTCTTTTCAATATTAGTCTGCTTTTGTGATGCATAGTAGTTAACATTTGTTTTGAGGAGTGTTACATATACAACATTTCTGGATCATTGTCAATCCCTTTACCAACCCTCTCTTTTCTGATGCCTTTCCTTTCTTCAAAATGTCTGGCTTCAGGTTTCCTACAATCTCCCCTGTATTTTACTCTTTAATTAATTTATATTTTGTGTTTCTTACATAAGAGAAACATGTGCCATTTAACTTTCCATGTCTGGCTTGCTTCATTTAGCATTATGTTCTCAAATGTAGTCATTTTCCTCCAAATGACATAAATTCATTCTTCTTTATGACTGATTAATATTTATCCATCTATTTATCTACCTACCTACCTGCCCACCCAACTATCCCACTTACCTGCTGATGGGTCCCTCGGCTGTTTCTAGGAGACATAGTTTTAAGTGTGACTTTTCACAGTGAGACAAGCTTGTAGAATGAGTGCTGACATAATGTTTACCTGGTAAAACACCCACAACTTAAAAAGCCGCATCTATACCTCATTACGGCTCATATTCTGCCATCAATAACTCATAGAAAGAAGATTAGAAATGAGAATGTATATGATGGACAAAAAATGGGCAAAGGATATGACCAGAAAACTTACAAACAAGAAAACCGAAACAGCCAACAAATGAATGAAAACACCAAGAAAACATTATTTCATATCCATCAAATTGGAAAAAAAAATGTTAAAAGTCTTACAACACACATGCTGACAAGGATGTAGGAAAACAAAATGTCATAGAGTATTCGTGGAAGGGTAACTATCTACACATCGTGAGTATGATCCCGCTATTCTCCATATCATTCTTGGTGACTAATTCTTTGAATCTCCTTCTAATTAAAACAGCAGTGATATATGCTGGAATCACGGTGGGGGAAAGAGCTTCTTCCACCAGGGTGAGTTCTATGAGTTAACGGAGGTAAGTTACTATTCTAGCTACTTGTGTAAAGTCACTTCATATTGCCAGGTCTCAATTTCCATACACGCCAAATGTAAAGTAGGATTACATACTGCTAATGGACGTAAAGTCGTAGTATCTGTCATTGTGGAACAACATGCCCATATCTGGAGTGCCCACTGTTTACTGATCAATTCATCTATTGACTTATTCCTTAAGATTTAATAAATTTTCAATATATTTCATTTATGCTATGAAAATAATAAACACACACAAAAGAAAAAGTACTACAAATGTGCATACATTTACCATCCAAGATTTTTTAATATTTGACTCGTACTTTTTCTTCATAAAAAAACAAATATTACAGGTAAAATCCCATTTCCTTCTTAGTGATAATTATTATCTTTCAATTAGCATTTCTTTTGCATAGATTCTGATGCTTAGACATAGATAGAGTCTTAATATATATTATTTTTGAGTTATGGAGATGGGTGCAGTGGTGTAGTCCTATAGTTTCAGCAATTCAGGAAGCTGAGGCAGGAGGATCATAAACTTAAAGCTAGGAAGTCTCAGCACTTGGGAATCTGAGGCAGGAGAATTACAATGAGTTCGAGGCCAGTCTGGGCTATATATTGAACTCAGGGCCAGCCTGAACTATACAGCAAGACCTTGTTTCAAAAATAAACAAAAACAATTTTAAGGCC